GTTCTGTATTATATCATGTGAGAGCCCACTAACAAAGGACTTAAAAGGCTATTATATAGCTGGGTACATCTTAAGGGCAAAATTGCAGAGGCATCACTATCTGCCACTCACAGATGTGGGCAAAATTCTGTCCTGATGATTACATATAGATGGAGAACTGTCAATTGCAGACAGGGAAGACATCCTGATGATTACAGATACAAATAAAATCCTGATGATTACACCGAACAGTAAATCACTGACAGAGATGAAACCTCATTGATTGCACACAGACAGAGCCCTGAAGATTACAGACACAGACGGAATCCTGCGGATTTCACACGCAGACGGATCACTGTCAGTTACAGACAGAACCTGAGTTTTGTCTCAGAAAAGCCCCTTTAAGATCCCGACTCTGCCAGTGCTAATCTGAACGAGTGGCTTAAACGCACAGACAGTCAAACAGGGGGTGTGGGGGACTGGCTGAGGAACAGGGCTATCATTCTGCCTCTGCTACATGGACTTTTTCATCCACGGCGACTTCGAAAGCTCACAGTTTGACAGTTCAATTTCTTTACACAGCTGGGTGGTTTTACTGTAGCATCAAGTACAAGGAGAACCAGCAATGTCCTTCATAGGGCATTAGGCTGTAAGAGATGGAACCCTGGAACCCTGTTGATTACTCACAGACAAGGCCAGACAAGACACAGATGGAATCCCCAGGCTTTTCGGAAGCCAGGCACCTTAACCACTGTATTCGGACTTTGAGGCATAACAAACAGGAGAACATGTAGCATGTAGTAGCTGCAGGAGTGATGAACAAACCATTTAATAATAATGCATGTACACATCATTAGAACAGTGCTGTGACAGCTTTCCAGCACGTCTACTTGCTGAAGCCCCTTATGGAGAAATGGTGTTGTGCTGTTGTTTGCTGCATTACAAATGTGCAGCGCAGCGCTAATTCTGCAGAAAGCTGGGGCGGGTCTGGAGGAGGGGGGGGTGCAGCTAATGAAATAAGCAGAACAATACATTTGATCAATGACAGTAGTGTGATGTGGTTTTGGGATGTGGGGGGAAGAGAGTTTCCTAATGAGCTTCACGCTAATCGATTTTTTCTACTTTTCACTGAATGGACTTACTTAAGGAGTCACTTAACCTGCCATTAATGGACAGGCATCCACCTCTATCAAGAGGCTCCGTAAGACCTACGTCCCATCTCACTGTCTTCAGTCAGTAAACCAAAGCAGCTCAAGACGCCTCCACCATGTGTCAAGTCTCACTCATATGCTTCCCTGATGGTTGAAGAGCTGCCGAACCACATCCGATCATCAGATTTCCTCTCCACCTTCAAGAAACGCCTTCAGACCAATAAGACCTATGGCACACACCTGCGTATATCCCTAGCAATACTGTATCAGGACCATGTGTGTTAAGGGTTTGGGGCTGATTTGGTCCCTACCAATGTTGAAATCAAACTTGCACCCTTACTCAAGATTCATCTATTCCAAGGACACCTCTCTTAGCCTACACCACTCAATACTCCCTGAATGCAATTAATGTTGCCCTTTTTCCTGATGTGAACAATAGACTTATTGGGTTCTTGCTTTGCCTGGAAGTTGTACCTGGGCATTCGCTAGAAGCTCAACCTCTGCATAGTTGACTCAGTAAGAGCTATATGTCTGCGATGTTCTATTTGCCTCACTTGTGCGTCACTTTTCACAAGAGCGTCTGCTAAACACATCGCATCACTTCAGTAGCAAGTAAAACAGTGGGTCTGTGATGTCATGGCTGGCGTCCCATTGACAGTCATACACAGAATAAGCAGTTATAGAAAACGAGTGGAAAGGGGGATGATGTCGTATTCTAAATGCATCTCTCTGATCTTTTTTAACTGTCTCCACTGAGAACAGCAGATTAATCAAAGTTAACAGTGTCAAACTGAGGAGACTGGGGGGGTGGTGGATTTTTCTTAACGTAGTACCCCCAGAAAATTTAACACCAACAGTATCATCGGGAAGGTGAGAGAGTATTAACAGTCTAAGAGGTGGAAAAGGACTGAAGATGACAGAGGAGAGGAAACAAAGGAGGGAAAATCCGTGGGGGGGGCAGCATTCCTGAGCACGCTAACCTCATACAGGTCAGGAACAGGTGTGTACGTGTTGTTGTGGCTCATGCGGGGGGCCTGTGGGGGGCGCTGTTCTGCTGAGCCCTCAGCCAGCATGCGCGCCTCTGCAGTGCATGACGAGGTGGCAGCCCCGGGGACCACAGGCTTATAAATCATCCCCCGTCCTCATCCATCATGCTGCTCACCCAGGAGGCTTCCCTGCCAATGCTGAGCCACTCGTAACAAGATGATTCAGCTCCCGTTTCCCCCAACGTACACAACTTCCCACCGTCTCTACGGCCAGCTCATTAGCGCCAGGTCACGGCTCCAAGCCATGTTTCCCGGCATTAATGAAGACGGCTAATATACCAAATCAGTCTCCTTTATTCTGCGCCCGTCACCCCGCCCGTGATTTTTCCACTCGTATTGTGACCACACTATCACTTCACGCTTGAAGTTTTTAAAAGCGTAACATATAGAGTGAGCCATCCAAGACACTATTAAACCGGGAGATAGAAAGATACATAGCTTACAGTGCTGAAGTAAAAAAAAAAAAAACTGAGTACTGCAGAAATAATTGCTGCAAAATGCTTCCCGCACCGTTGATCGATTAAAGGCGTATTCATGGAGGCTTTGCCCGACGGACCTGCGAAACTGAAGCTGCGTAGCGATTAGGTGCCTCTCAAGGACACAGCAGCCCCCTTGCTTAACGTTTCACATGGAGACGGGCTCCATCCCAATGTCCGTATGCCCGCCTGCCGCTGGCTGTCTGTAGGACACCTGGAGGAGAAGATGAACCGGAACAAACTGAAGATTTGACGGTTCCTCGTGGTTGATGCCCTTCAGCAGAACGGGAAGACTGGGCTTTATGCATAAGGCGGGTGATGACAAACACATTCATACGTGGATCTCCAGCACCCACTCTCATTGTTACACCATTCATTCATCTTTTGAGACACATTAAAGTTTGCTTAAAAAAAAAAAAAAAGAAGGAAAGAGGCAAAAAATGTTGTACTGTGTGTTTATCAGGCCATACGTGGTCTTGCTAGAAAAACTTGTACAAACAGATTATTCTCGTTCAAGTTGCATTATGCCACAAAGACCCCTGGGCAAGAATTTTAACAGAGAGCTTCTCTAGATTCTAACTAACATGCTGGAACTGCAGCTGTCATGGAGGGGAGCTGTGATGCAACAGGTGCATAAACTATGCACAATACCCCTGGGACATCAGCAACCAAGGTGATTTCTTACTGGAGCATCTTACAGAGCACATTATAAGCCCTAAATTGGGCCATCTTGCTACATTTCCAGTACTACTAGCCTTGGTACACAGAAACAGCCATATCTCAAACTGGACACTCTAAGTTACACCATAGTGCCATTATTTACATGGCTTATGGTAAAACAAATGCAGGTACACATGTCCCTGGCTCCACAACTACAAGCTGAGACCGATGACTCTGCCTTGGCTTGGCAGCATTTGGCTCACGTTCTCTTTTCCGCCCCAGTTGCTGTGATTTGATGCCCTCTGGTGCCCTCTTGTGCATCACAGCCAGAATTACTCAAGTGAGTACTCAAACAAGGCTTTTGCATCTTCACATAGAAACATGGTGACCATTCATTCGTTTGTTTTACATAATCACTCATGAATAAATTAAACAGAGTTGCACAGCTCTGTATGAGATATTCTAAACTTAGACTGAAGTGGTCTCCTGGCTTGGGTTCCACTGGAGAGGTCCCAGACGCAGGAGACACTAAGGGCTTGCAGACACCATGTACTGTAGGCATGGCGCATGAATGACACCTGCTGGATTACCGCACCCATGTATAATTGATTGGGTAAAGATGTCCCAAACTATATCTCGCCTGTCACATTTTGGGGCAGAGCACAGCAAAAAGACATAGCAATGCTGCAGGTCAGGCCTGGCAATGGTGATGTGCCATCATTTTGACCCAAAGACATAGGTTTGCTTTCAACATTGATAGGGACCAGATCAGCCCCAAACCTCCCACTCCCTTAAACACACACAGTCCCACGTTATTGGTTGGGACATGTCCCTACCATCCATACCCAAATCTATGCCCTTGCTTTGACCTGAGGGTTGCACATGTAAGCACAATGGAACGGAGATGCCATAGGTTTCAAATTTCAAATGGATCATTAAACAAATATGAGGGAGCGCTGTTTTAAAAGCACACAGGCAGCAACTATGACTATTGTGTGTTTAACCATGCAGTTTAAAATGGATATCTATCACCACCTAGTGGAGAAACACTACAGTATGTAAATATAGAACATTTTTTATTGACTGTAGTTCTTTAAACCACAGGTGTCAGACTCCAGTCCTGGGGGGCTGCAGCCCTGCACATTTTTGGGTTTCCCCTCATTTAACACACCTGATTCAACTTATGCTAATTACCACATAGCAGTTGAACTGAATCATTTGTGGTGGAACAGGGAAAAAACTAAGCTACACAGGGCTCCGGCCCCCCAGGACTGCAGTTTGACACCCCTGCTTTAAACCTTTACTTTAATGTTGGAAAATGATGGTACCTCTATTTTCCCAAGCGGTCTGATGGGTAATACCCACCTCAGTATGCAATGGAATACACACACGCACTTAGTATGTTTGAGACAGACACCACACTGCAAGAACGTTAAATATTTCAGCAAAGAGGAAACTTTTCCCTTCAGGGTGAATAGCAATGCACTTGGAGGGCCACACATTCCAAGTCAGTAATCCCAGCCAGACAGTCATAGCCAAGGTTTGAAACAGTGAGGTCCAGGAGCGGGGGCAGGGGGAGATTACACATATAAACATTACATACTACTGTAAAAAGAGACCTGCTGCTATTTACAAGAAACTAATTTTATTGATGTTTTAATTGTAATTTACACCAACTGTATTGTTTTGATGTTGGATGTAGACCCCCGACACTCACCCCCCACCAACACCAAAAAAACAAACGGTTCTATGGACAGGTGTGGCCAAACCCTTCCTTGTCTGTGACTTTAAACTGGAACGCTCTCAGTATGATATGTTTGAGTGTGTGTGTGTGTGTGTGTCTGTGTGTGTATGGAGTGTAGAGAGTGCTGCTTCAACATACATAGGTGAACAATATTGAAATCTGATCATTAAGCTGTTATTTTAACCTTAGTTGGCTATAAAAAATGAAAGTAAAAGGCTTTAGAGTAACATTATTACAAGTTAACATCATCCAGAATCTCCATCCATCCAACCATCCATTATCTGCTGTTATATTCCGAGGTTAGGTCATGGGGGCAGCAGTCGAAGCAAGGATGCCCAGACCTCCCTCTCACCTGCCACCTCTAGCTCCACTGGGGGAATGCCAAGGTGTTCCCAGGCCAGTCAAGAGATATAATCACTCCAACGTGCCCTGGGTCTTCTCTGGGGTCTCCTCCTGGTTGGACATGCCCAAAGCACCTCCCCAGGGAGGTGCATAGGAGACATCCTAGATAAGTTCCTGAACCACCTTTTGGCTTTTGATGCAGATGAGCATGGGCTCTACTTTGAGCCCCTCCCAAATGTCTGAACTGCTCGCCCTATATCTTACACTGAGCCCAGAATCTGTGGCGGAAGCAGAGAGGGCTGAGGTAATCCACTCTCCACCAGCAACATCACACTGCCCACCAGCCATGCCATGCCACCCACTGCAAAGCTGAGCCTGCAATGCCAGGAGTACCATCAAGGAGCTGCCCCACTGATGAGACCTTGCCCCTGTATCATCAAGTGAGCCGGATGGGCCACAAGTGCCGCAACTACACGAATTGCATAGTAGTGGTCACCGATTGTTGAACTTTGGTGGACACGGGATGAATCATCACCCTCATTCATTCAGGTGTCCTCTCAGGCACCAACCAGCTGGATTTGCTGGGATGGGAGGCAACACAGGTCCAACTCGCATCTGTCACTAGCGTGTGTGTGCCGATGAATGAGAGGAGGTGGCTTAGCCTCATGCTAGCAGGGTGGACCACAGAGCAAGAAGTGTAGGAGGCTGAGATCCGTGATCCATTCTTCATTGAGCTTGACTTGCGGTCCCTTCTGGGGCGTTCGTATCAATGTCACCAGGGACACACTACATTTTGGCATGGATATGATGAACCTTCACCGAGATGGCAACCACAAGCTTCAGGCAGCGGAGTAGAAGATCCAGGAGACGGTAGCAGTGGGAGCCATTGAGCCTTCGGACAGTCCATATGCTGCACCTGCAGTCCTGGTAAATAAGAAGGGTGGGTCATGGTGACTTCCATTTTTTGACCCAGAACAATTGGTCTGCTGCCCCACATCAATGATGCATTGGATTAGATTCAGGTCAATGTGGCTATTGGCAGGTCAAACTGGCCCTGGATTCTCAACCCAGCACCGTGTTCATCATTAGTCAAGGTTTATGGCACTTTTGGGTAATGCCGTTCGGAATCTGCAATGCCCCTGCCGACTTCAAAAGCCAGTGCACTGTCCACCTGGATGACCTGCTCACTCACATTGCAGATTTTGAGGGGGCACTAAACAACCTGTGCCCGATTACTGCTGCTATTCACAAGGCTGACCTGTGCTCCCTTGAAGTGTTCCCTCCTTCAGAAACAGGCACAGTTCTTGGGTCACATAATGAGCAGTGAATGTGTGATGGCAGACCCAAGAAAGATAGCAGTGGTGACGAAATGGCTCACCCTGTGAAGCACCGCTGAGCTCTGCAGCTTTCTGGGGCTTGCCTCGTATCACCAGTGGTTCATAACGAACTTCGTCAGTACCACTAAACCGCTCCACTGCCTCAAAGAAAAGGGGCAGCTATTTGAGTGGACTGAGAACTTTGCCACCACTTTCAGCCATCTGAGGTAACCTAATGTCCTGACTCTGTGAGGTCATAAATGATCCCTGGGCATCTTTCAAAAGAGTAGGGGTGTTACCTCTATGTCCTGGCTAAAAATTGCCCACTGTGGCCCTATCAAATCTGGCCTCCTATTCATCCCCTGCATCTAATGGGTAAATTCTCTTTTGCCCTTTCACCACCTTAACTACTGTGTGGTGGGCATACTGGCACAGAATGGCTGCCATCGCATTATCCAGGTGGGTACAATACAGCGGTGGTGGTTGAAGTGACTCCTCATTGGTACTGTAGAAGCGCTTTGGGTGTCTTGAAAAGCAATATATTAATGCAACAAACATTCATTCATGGTGGTGGCTTATTTCAGTCAGACACTGAGCCTCCCTGAAAGAAAATACTATTTAACCTTCTACAAGCACCTTGCTGCCAAAGCCAGTCATCATTTCCACCCTTCCTCCTTCACCTGGTTGTTAAGCTTCTGCGATCCCGAGGGACAGCTGGTACGCAGACTGGTGGTTCTACAATGGTATGACTTTGAGGTCCAGCACCAACCGGGCAGGCTCCATGGCAGCACTAATGCTCTCTCTCATTGCCCCTGCTATATGGGCAACTTCTGTCACTGCCGCTGCACTGAGGAGTACAGCCTGAGGTGGGTTTGTGCCCCAGCGGGATATCAGCAATGAGGGACTGAAGACCATCGATCTTCAGTGGATGCAAGTTAACACTTTAGTCCAGGCAAACGAGCCAGTGCAGGCTTGAGTCAGGGGTTGGTTGCAAGCAGCGATGCAGCCATAATGGAGGGAGGTCACTGCATTTAACACAGAAATCATGGCCCTCACTCTCTGCTCAGTCCCTGGATGGCAAGAAGCAACTGTTGTAGCTGCTGGTGCCCCAAAGTCTCCTTCCAACGGTCCAGAAGATGAAGCATAGACTGACCAGAGTCAGGCACTTTGGAGCAGCAAAAACTACGTTGCAGCCTCTATTAGCCTGGCTGCAGCCAGGAGACGGATCTGTTTGTGCACTGCTGCAATGCATGCATCACCCAGGTGGGGGCTCCCATGAAGAGAGTCGGGGTGGACATCTTAGGTCCCTTTCCCTGCAATGAGGCTGGGAACGGCTACGTGCTCATGCTAATGGATAATTTTACCAAGTTGCCTAAGGTGCACATGGTTCCCGATCAGAGTACAGTGACCACGGCTGAGAAGCTTATCGAGGAATTCTTCTGGTGCTTTGGTGTATTGGAAGAGATACACAGCAACCAGGGGTGAAACTTTGAGGTGCAAGTGTTTGGTGTGATCTACAGTCGGCTGGGCATTACAAAGACCCTGACCACCCCCCTTCACCCAGAAAGCAATAGGCTCGAGGAGTGGATTAATTGTGTGTTCACTACACTGCTCACCATCCTAGTCACCGACCACCAGCATCACTGGGACCTCCACCTGTCCCTGTGGGCATACTAAGTAGCGGTGTAGGAGAGCACTCAAGCAACAGGCTGTTCTGATTTGGGGGCTGCACACACCAGTGGAATTGGTGTTCAGATTGCCCCCTGAGTCGGTGGTCCTGAGGGAGTAAGGTATAAAGTGCGTGAGAGCCTGAAAAACATACACGAGCTGGCCCAGCAAAACCAGGGCACAGCAACCACCCAACAGAAGAGTACCTACTATGCACACAGCCGCAGGCAGAACTTTAGTGCCAGGGACCCAGTTTGCCTGCGGCTGCCCAAGCAGTGAAAGGCTGTGGTCCCGTCCAGGGATCCTCTTGCCCTGTATTGCCCCCTGGCCAGACCTGACGTTCTTGCAGCGGCCATGGACCAGGACACTCTGGCAGAGGGAGGGACGTCTGGCACCGCAGGGACAGTAGGACAACACCAGCCTCTGCCACATCTTCGTGACTTTGTGGTGTACTTGGGGGTTGCCAGGAATGACTGACCCCTTATGTGGGGGCAATGTAATGCTGTGAGGTTGGCGGGCAGAACGAATTATGCAGTGTACCAGAAAGCTTCAAACTAGTGTACAGTAATATATGTATTTGTGTATTTATCCTGTAAATAGTAAATATCATAACTGTGTCATATTTGTTGTACCATGTAACCCTGAACAGGAGTGCCATTTGAATTAGCGAGCAGTGGTGTCTTAATGGTTAGGGAAGTGCACTTGTAATTTAAAGATTGCTGGTTCAAATCCCTGACCAGCAGGGTACCACCCATCACTGCTCCCTGGGCACTGAATTAGCTGCCCCCTGCAATGTGACGATGTCACATATGGGTTAAATGCAGAGGACACATTTCGTTGTTGTGTGCTGTGGTGTGTCAACACTGATCACTAAAATTATTGGCTTACATGTCTGTGTCACCATATTTGTGAGATATGGCAAGTGTCACTGAAGTCTGACGTCACTTGACAACGAAATTGCGAAAGTGCAGGCGACTCAATGTGAGGCACGAGTAATAAAAGAATATACTAAAAAATATACAAATTGCACTAACTCTACATATTGCACTGGATATTTAAATTGCACTTATGAATATGAAAATTAACAGTTCTGTTTAGAGTTTAAGATAAAAACTGTTCTTTAGGCGGTTTGTCCTGATTTTCATTGTTCTGTATCTCTTTCCTGATGGCAAAAGCTGAAAGAGACAGTGACAGGGATGTGATGAATCATTTGAAATGTCCATAGCTTTTTTTTTTTTATTTCAAATTTTTGAAAACCATAAAAATATTACTGTGGTCCGGACCTGAGTGATCTCATAGCTGGCTACGGACATGCTAAGCATATGGACATTTGGATTTTTCAACCAATCAGCAAACATACTTCTGACACCTTTCTAGAACTTTGCTTTGCAGTACATGGAGAGCATGTTGATAACTCCGTGTGGCAGTGGCTCTGTGCCAATCAATTTATGTAGGCATGTGCCTACTCAATATTATGCAATAATGTAATGCATAAATTAATTATTCAGTCAATCAATACATTGATAAACTACATTGATTGTGAAGAACATATCATTAAACTTGCAGATAGGGTAATCTGGTTAATGCAGGGGTCACCAACTCCGGTCCTGGAGAGCTACTATCCAGTAAGTTTTCTATCCTACCCGGCTTCTGATGAGCCACAATAGTTCTCAGGTAAATACCAGGAGCAGGTATGGCTCATCAGAAGCCAGGTAGGATAGAAAACTTACTGGATAGTAGTCCTCCAGGACCGGAGTTGGTGACCCCTGGGTTAATGAGTGAGCCCCCTCCATTTGATGGCATCTCTTTATCCTCTCCCCCATCCCTCATCCTTCCCATCTTCTTGATTACACTACACATCATCGAGTGTAGAGTTACCAAAACATTCATGACATTCATGACTCACATCTCTATGGAATGTCAAAAGGGCCAAAATGTGTTACCTTTTTTCGCATCAACATGCTCAAAAATTACATGTTAACAAGCACATTTTCGATGTGTTAATGTGTAATAATGTGTTAACATGCACAAAATGTGTGCATTAACATGTCAATTTTGGGCGTTAACCCGCCTATAGCTGGTCACATTAACACAACAAAAAATGGCGCGTTAACACATTTGTGAGTTACGTTGTCAGTGTGTGCAATTCTCTTTGGTTTTTGGGCATCATGGACTCAACCAACTTATTTTAAAAGAGTCTACCTCAACCTCCTTGCCCCATGAAACTTATTTACTAGTCAGTTAGTCTGGACTCATTTTTAGTTGGTTTAGAAGTGTAGTCATATTCGCTCTGTGAAATAATAAAAGAAAAGAGTGATAGCTTTTACGTTCTTGTGGTCTGCATTCCATAGATGGACAGGACTGTGTAAGTGTGAGCGGCACCAGTGCGAATGCAGAATTAGGCGCAGCAACACCTTCTGTGAAATGGCTTCTTCGAAATTGCTGAGCACTGAGCATGTAAGCTGTAAAAAAGACAACGTGTACACAGCATGCAGCTGTGAAATATACCTAATGTAGAGATCATGCTGAATATTGAGACTGAACGGTCTCAATATTCCCCTAGCGAAAAGTGTACTGAGAGTGTTAACGCATAATATCATGTTAACAGGCACAAAATGTGCGTATTAACATGCCGGTTTTGACCATGTTAACAAAAAAACAGCAGTAAACAAGGTTAGCTATCTTTAGCTGTTGACAATTATTAGCAAAGTAAATGATTTCCTGCAAGCATGAGATGGCAACTGACTTGTCACACAGACAAATACTGCATTAGTCTAAAACTGTCAAAATATATCACGCACATTAGTGATGCACAGATTTCGGTTACATCCGTGGACACCACGGTTAATTTGCGGATCAGTTTGGTGGCAGGGTTGCCAACTCTAAGACGTCTGGTATGGCACTTTCAGATCACACTCACGCAAGAAATCTTACAGAAAATCTGTATTATTCCATTATAAACCTAAAATTAGCAACATCAAAAGTGCTGGGAAAGTTTGCAAACCCTACAGACTATTTACAACATAATAAAACTGTTACATACATGTAAATGCATGTGAATGTGTGTGCAGACTTGTCTTGAATTGAAAATCTCACTCATGCCAGCTGAGGCAAAATTGGCTACTGTGGGGTCATTAAAAAAGATCATTCTGGTTAATAGCAGATGGGTTGGAATGACAGCTGCAGAAAAAAATTAGAAGACCACAGCACAATTTTTTGTTTCACTCATTTCTCAATTTATGGGTGTGCATCTGTGAATTATATATATATATATATATATATATATATATATATATATATATATATATATATATATA